CTTGGGGTTTTTCGATTTTTCTGCATATTGGATCTTTGATGTTTCAATTTCTAGTTCTTTCATATATATGATGAAGTATTTTCGTTCATTTCTATATTTGCGGTTCATTTCTATGGCTAGCTAAACTTTGAGTATTTATTCCTTGAGGAGAATGTGATGAACCCTTGAGATTTTTGTGTTTTGAAGCGTTTCTGCCATGTCTAGTTTTGGTCTTCATCTAATTAACTTTGTGTTTGATGAAGGGATGACAAATTTGATGCATGTTTAATCTCATATTTGTGTTCTTGCATTTAAACAACCCCTGTTCATGCTTAATGGATGTGGGTTGCTACATGGTTGCTTAATCCGTGGCACCAAGGTTGAATGGTGTATGCTTGCTTAATGCATATTGGACTCGTTTTTAGTTTTCGCTTAGTTGTATAGTTTTGGGTTTCAAGATTGAACAGGGCATTCATTTTGGTAATCTATGATAGGTGGATTTACATTTGAATCAAGGAATCAATACGTTTTTAATCACTGCTTTTTGTCACTGTTGTTGTTTTGTAGAATTTAAATTGTGTCTATCTGTTTAATCTACAAACCAACCCCCCCCCCCATCATTGTTTTATCTGTTTGATGTGTGAATCTTTGATTGAAACTAATGGTCCTTGGGAGATGACCTAGGAGTCACTTCCTAGTACTGCATTTATTTGACCGAGTACGACACCGATCAACAAGATAAATACAAAACTGTCTTCATAGTACCATTTGGAAAATATGAGTGGAACGTAATGCCTATGGGCTTAAAAAACACGTCTTCTGAATTTCAAAAATAATGAATGATATATTAAACCCCTATTCTAAATTCGTTATCGTCTATATTGATGATGTATTAATATTTTTGGAATCAATCGAACAACATAAAAAACATTTAAGAATATTTAAAAATATTATAAAAGCAAATGGAATGGTAATATCACAAAGGAAAATAAAACTAGCCCAAGCACAAATAAGATTTTTAGGGCATGAAATAAATCAAGGATCTGTAACCCCCATTAAAAGAAGTATTGAATTCTCAGAAAAATTCCCTAATAAAATAAAAGGTAAACTTTAATTACAAATATTTCTAGGCTGCCTAAACTATGTATCAGATTTTATACCCAACATCAGAACATTGTGTAAACCCCTCTTTAATAGACTTGAGAAAAACCCCAAACCATGGACTTCAGATATGACCAAAATATTAATAGAGGTTAAAAGATTAGTTAAGTCCTTACCATGCCTAGGAATACCACATCCAGAAGCCAAGATAATAATAGAAACAGATGTTTCTGATTTAGGATATGGGAGAATACTAAAACAAAAGTTAGGAAATAACCCCGAACAAATAATAAGATACCACTCAGGAATATGGAATGATGCTCAAAAGAATTACAACACCATTAAAAAAGAAGTTTTAAGTATTGTTTTAAATATACAAAAATTTCAACATGATTTAATAAACACAATTTTTTTATTAAGAATTGATTGTAAATCTGCAAAAGAAGTTTTGGAAAAAGATGCAAAAAATATAGTTTCTAAACAAATATTTGCAAGATGGCAGAGTCTATTATCCTGTTTTGAATTTGAAATAGAATTTATTAAAGTAAAAGAAAATTTCATACCTGATTTTCTAACAAGAGAATTTTTGCAGGGCCACACCCATGGCAACCCCCTCAAAAAGCCCAGCTTCGGTTGAAAAAAAGTAAAATAGAAAAAGGCCCAAAGTCCTCTACTTTATCCTTAGATGACTTTGTCCCTTCATACTCTAAAACCATGGCCACTCGAAAACTCATCACCTCAATAACCACCCAACCTAATAGATTCACCATTCTAACACCACAAATCCCTTAACATCCTCCCATTGGAAAACCTCCAAAAATGGAATTTCATAATAAATAAGGATGCTAGAAAATTATCACCTTAGAAGAAGACTGGAATCCCGAAGATTTTTATGGAATACTCAGGAAACTAGCTCCTCCAAGATGGAATTAGATTCCTAAATTAAAAAAATTTGAAAAAAAATAAAAAGTTCTACCAATTTATTTTAATAGACACTGGATCTACAGAGATAACACCTATCCCTAATGAAAAAGATCACTCTATCATTAGTTATTCAAAACTACGAATTATTAAAATCCTCTCATACCAAGAATGGAACCAACATCCTTTCACTGAAAAGAGCTTTTCGAGGCTCTTTGACCCCCTTTCCTATAACTATTTTGATTACCAAGAAGCCTGGAATAAAATACTATTTGATGCCAACCCTAGACATTCATGGTATATCTGTTTCAAAAAATAATTACCCAACACCTTACCCAATTGGTTTGTCGATTGATTTCATCAAAAAGGACCAGTCCAATCTAGAATTCTAGAAAAAATTATGAAAATTTACCAAAAATATAAAAGTCTTACTCCTCATTACCCTCCACACTTAAGAATTATAAAATTTTGCTTAACTATGGGAATAAGCTGGTTTTTGCCCCCACATTCCCAAAATACATCAACACAAAGAAGAAAACCTACCCTAAAACTCTCTGCTTAAAAACAAAGGTTTTTTGGTGGAAAAAAATTGAAACCCAATATGTAGAAGAAAAATTTGAAAATTGGAAGAAAATGGGCCTTATTACACAAAAACGCCCAATTCAAAAAGAAATTTCATTCACAAAAGAAAAAGGAAAAGTCATCATAGATTTATCCAAAATCCCCTCATCAAAAGAAGAAAATGCCTAATTAAAATAGAAAATGCTTGAAGTATTATCCTTATTGTGGCTTAGATGAAGAAGAAAGTGAAGTCATCATCAATCTACAAGATGCCCAAGATCCCTATGAAGATGAAGAAGATATTGATTTTGCATAATTTTAGCAATCAACCCCAGAAGAGTTACAAAAGAAGATTATTGATATTATGCAATGAAAATCAAGAAAAGAAGAATTACAAAGGAATATTAATCAAATTATGAGAAAACTAGAAGACGCGGATCTTCACCAGCCCACCTTCTATAAAAACAGTATCCTAGTAAGCAGTTGGGTTTATTTGACCCTTTGTCCAACAAATGCTAAGGTCCCACACCTCAAAATAAAGTATCCAAGTAAGCAGTTGGACTTATCTGGTCTTTTGCCCAAAAGATACTTAGGTCCCACCTAGTTGAAAAATCAGTCAATTGTAAGGTGTGTCAAGATGTAATTATTGAGTCGGCCGTCAAAAGTAAGGTGTGCCACTTGTAAGGTCGAATATAGAATATTTAGTAACTTTGTCTATAAAAAGTAAAAAGAGATACAACTCTCTATAGCCTTAACTCTCTCTCCTTCAGTCAACTCTCTCGTATCCTAAATTTTCAGTCTTTCCTATCCTCAAATATCTTGAATATTTTGTAAGTCTTCTTTGAACATAGTGTAATGATATTATTTTATTCACATATTTCTTTATTTCTTTATTTTGTTCCTCTTTTATGTATGCACAACCACAAAATATATATATATATATATATATATATATATATAATTTATTTAAATATTTTAAAAAATAAAATTATAATAAATAAAAATTTTAAAGTAAATAATACTTTAAACCTAAGAATTGATTTATTATTATAACGAATGAAACCCATTTATCCTCGTTTTGTGTAATCAGAATAATTATACCTTTATTAAAATTATAATAAAAAAATGTTTAAGGAAATATATAAATTTATAAAGTTTATAAGTTTCATTATATCGAAAATATATTAAAAGTATGTCTATGTCATTTATATAAAATATAATATTTATTAATATAACTTGTTTGAACAGTGAATTACACATGTTACAGTGTTTTATGTAATTGAGAGGTTTGACAACTAAATTTATTCGTAAATAAAAAACATTGATAGTCCCATAAAAATAATTATAAAAATTATAAAAAACTATTTTTACCAAAAACAATATTATTAGAAAAAACAATTCATGATAAACGTCATCTTTTTTAATATTTCATTTAAATTTTATGAATGATATCATCATGTAATTATTTACAAGTTTAATTTGTATATTCTGTAGTAAAATAAAGGTATTGACAAGAAAATTATCAATATTAGAAAATGCTTTTATTTAATTATATATTTTATTTAGACTTGTTAATTAAAATTGTTTGTAAGGAAGATTAATTTAATTTAGATTTATATTTTACATTATTTAAACTATCCACCACTCTTACGTTCTTCTTATCCATGACCTTGAAATAAAAATGATGATCATGATTCATCCTTAAAAGGCATTGAGATTGACATGAGATGAGAGTTACGCATTGAATGGATTGAGACAATGTGGTATGAACAAGGAAACTTCTAAACAAGGCCCAACATATTTTTTCTTCCAATTTATGTTGTCCACATCTCCTTTTTCCAAATTTTTAAAAACCTTTTTCTATGTTGGTGCTTACCGCACCTCCCAAAACATAAGATTTAGATACGTATAAATAAATTTTGTACTTTCAAATTTCTATTAATCTTATTTATTCTTGTTTAGAGTAGGCGTGGCAAAGTATAATATATATGCCCATACATACCCTATTTTTTAGCACCTTTCTCTCTCCCATTCCTATTGTGACTCTCTTCTCTCTCCTCTCTCATCGCCTTTCTCTTTCTCTCTCTTTCAGATTTCTGTCTCTCTCATCTTTCTCTCTCCGGAAGGGCAAACCCTAAAGACCGTTTGCACCCACCAAGTAAGTTTTCTCTCTCCTATCTCCTCTTTCTCTCTCTTTCTTTCCGCTTTCTCTCTCTCCCTCTCTTTCCTTAAAAATTTGAATATGGGTCCTCCTTCTACCGTTGAGCTTCAGCCTCAATATAAATCATTTGTTGTGTGAATTTGTTTTACTTCGCCATTATTAAAAGCCAGATCTATGCCCAAATTTTGGAACCCTAAAATGCGAATTGGGGATCTGCACGCCGCGCTCCTCCTTGGTGTGTGTTCTGTATGGTTTATTGAAAAATGTAGAAATAGTAATGGAGGTCAGATCCTGGGGTTTTCGTTCTGCGGCGATTAGATCGAGCAAGTTCCGATTTTTGAACACAGAAGCGGTAAATCGGGATCTGTTTGAGCCTGATATGAGAATTTGGGTTTGGTAATCTCGGATGCTTTTAGATTTTGTTGAATTTGAGATTTTGTGTTGTTGGTATTTTCTCATTTTTCAATTAAATTGCATGCGTTGAAGTGGTTGATTGTGCTTATAGTTCACAGTATGTTGCGTTGTTTAAGATTTTAATGATGGGCATTGAAAGAATCGAGAGGCTTGTTTTGAAACTTTATGATCCTTTGTTTCCTGTTGTGTGTAGTTGTGATGGATGATGATGTGTTGAACATGCCCAATTGGGGTTATTATGAACCCTTCAGAGGGGGACATCTTGGTCTGCAGCTGATGCCTGGTATGACTGATCGAGACCCAAAGCCATATTTGCCTGGTCGTGATCCAGCTATGTTAATGGGTGCAAATGGAGCTTTTCACCCTCGAGATTGCGTTGTTTCCGAAGCACCAATGCAGTTAAACTATGTCAGAGATAATTGGATAAGCCAGAGGGATAGGTATTTCAATATGCAGCAGCCCACAAATCCTAATTATGTTGTTCTTCCAGAAACATCAGGAGCTCCCACCTTGCAAATTATACAACCACCCGATACATCAAGAGATGAGAAAGTGGATAAAATTGAAGAGTTAGTTGTCAAAAAGGAAGGTGGTCAGTCCAAGAAAAGGCAAACTAAGGGTGCTCTGACGACTCCGAAAGCTAAGAAACCTAGGAAACCAAAGGATAATAACAATGTTCCAGTTCAACGTGTGAAGCCACCGAAGAAGACTATGGAGCTTGTAATTAATGGAATTGATATGGACATTTCTGGTCTACCCATTCCAGTTTGTTCGTGTACTGGGAGTCCTCAGCAGTGTTATCGTTGGGGCTGTGGAGGTTGGCAATCGGCTTGTTGCACCACAAATGTGTCGATATATCCATTGCCAATGAGCATGAAAAGGCGTGGTGCTAGGATAGCTGGGAGGAAAATGAGCCAAGGTGCTTTTAAGAAGGTTTTAGAGAAGCTTGCGGCTGAAGGGTATAATTTTGCTAATCCGATAGATCTGAAGACTCATTGGGCTAGACATGGCACCAACAAGTTTGTCACTATCAGGTAGATAGGTGTTACTCAGGACCTGAGACACATGACAGTTGGTCTGTTTCACCTGTATATACACCTGTGTGGTCTTTCACGCAGATGTTGAGTTATTTGTTATCCAAGAATTTTCTGTTGTGGTACTTCTACCTAAAATTTGGATATTCCCGTTCTTTTGTTCTTTTTCCCTCTTCAGCTTTTATGTGATAAGGGACAACCATGTTATATGGCATCAACATTTATGTAGATGAGTTATAACTAGATAGACTAGTTTTGGATAATTCTCATTCACCTTTTAATTTAAATATGTCAAGATTTTTCAATGCTTTGAATTAACTTTTCTTTTTCCTTTGGTTTATTGGTTTTGTCAATTGCACATTGGCCTTGTTTCTTTGATTTAGCCCTTAATTTTTTTTTAGTTGGTGTAGGGTTCATTAGCAATCCTATAAATGGATGCTACATCAAATGTGCTTCATCAGGGGTTCCTAATCTTTCAATTGGAGTTCTGTTAGAACATGGTTTAACCTGACAATTCCTCTTAAGAGTCTTCAGGGTTTTAGATGTTGCACAATTGGGGGTAAGAGCCTATTTGTCGTCTATAATCACACCCTATATGATACCAATGAGATAAAACCTGGAACTCGTAGGATAGAGACCATATCAGTTTATATTGTCCATTGAATTAGACAATAGTCATTTAGTCTGTGTTTCTTCATGATTCTAGACCACATTACGGTCTTTTATCATCTGTTTCTCAGTGCTGTTCTGAATACTCTAGAGCTCTAGTGGGACTTAATGGAATGAAAAGGATGATCTTCCCCTAATCTTTTTCAGCGAATTTTTTGTACAGAAAAGCTGATTTTTTTTCATAGCATGTTGTACCCCCTACAAGGCCTTATTACATTTGGAAGGCAATAATCATGTCTTAGATGTCTTGTGATTCGATACCAATGATGATCTTTTTTTCTCTGGATTGAATGCCGATCGCTCCTTATTTAGTTAGCTCCCGTGACTCTTGTAGTGGCATTAAGTCAGTTATTATCGAATCAAAATGGGGAAGTTGGTCTTCATAGGTTGCCGTTCAAGTTATCATGAACAGGTTACCTTTATGTAGAAATAGTCAGAGATGGCAATAGTTAGCAATGTTAACCAAAAGTACAGATTTATTATGTAAATAGGGAAACCTACGATTATATTTAACCTCTTTGGCCCAAACCTAACTCTGCTGGCAAAGGAATGTTTTCTTTTGAGGACTTCAGTGGTTTACCAGGACGCAAAGGCATTTGACAAAAAACTTCAAGGGAAAAAGTAAAGTCGAAAGAAGATTCAGATACAGAAATGATAGGATAATTCCTGTTTTTGAGAGGGAGACGCAGTTTTGGTGAGTATAGTTTAAATCAAGAGTCGTTATCTAGTAGTTAATGAAAAGCAGTTTTAGGATAATAGTTATTTAATTAAGATATTTAGTTAAGACATTGTTTGATTTAGATGATATTTTATATTTCCACTCCTACTTTCTCTTGGAGTTTAATGTCTTAGAACATTGTCAATAAGATTCTCGTCTCAATCAATTGTATTCAGATTTTGTGCTTTTATCTCGTTGTTACACGTGATTGATTGTTCGTTCGGTGTTACCCCGATATTGTCCGTTTTCACAAAAGGAAATTTGTGATAAATTGAAAATAAGCAAACTTATTGATTAATTCTTTTTTATGATCTTGTATGTGGTGCCCCATTTATTTGTCCTATATATTATTACATCAATCATAAAAAAAGTTTCTTTAAAAAATAGAATATGTAATACAGGGTTACTTTTACTTAAGGTCCATTTGCACGAGAAGTCAGATGAAAAATAGGATAAATACCAATAGCCAGTGTACATTATAATGCTAGAGAGGGGCCTTTTTCGGAAATAAAAAAAAAGAAGTTGCATATCATTTGTCTTATTAGAAAAAGGTGAACCTTCGTTTAAAATTCTATATGCTTATGATTTTAAAAAGAGAAAAAACGTGTATATATCTCTTAGACTGTTTATACAAAGCTACACTACTAAATTTAAAATTCGTACATAATTCTAAAAGTAACATGATTTAAGCAGAAAGTTTATATCCGTTAAAATATTATTTTGGGTCAAATTTCAAAATATCTATATACTATATATAAGTTCTTCACCCTAGCAAAAATAAAATTCTAATTTGTATGTTTCTCGAACACGATATTTCTTCACTATTGGAGTTTTTTTTTAGTCATTTAAAAATAAAAAATAAATATAAAAAAGGAAAAGTTATGTTTGGTTAAAATTAATTTTTAAATATAATCAATTAAACAAAAAACCATAAAGATACAATTTTAGTCATTCTCCTTTTCAAACATCTCATCGTTTTATTGAACTATTTTAGTTTTTAGTCATTTTGAAAACGAAAAACCTGATGTTTGTTAAAAAAAGTTTTCAAACGTAATTATTTTTAAAAAATTAATAAATTTGTTTCATTTTTTAAAATAAGATGTTTTGAATTTTTTTTTCATAAAATTAGTTGTTTCTTTAAAAAATAGATATTTATGACGTAAAGGAACATAAATTTATTTTTATTTTCTCATTTAAAAAAATTAATTCCTAGACTATATAATATTAGAATTTTAAAACGTTATCATTTAAAAAAAACCAGCTTGTTTTTTTGCTGTCTAAAAATTCTCAGATTTTGATAAGTTATATTTCTTATTCAGTGAACTTAGTTGTAATCTTACCCTATGTCCCTTTTTAATGAATTCTTTTGTTTTGGATCTAAAATCTTCAGGTCAGTGTTCGAGATCCTGTTATTATGTCCATTAAATAACTTGATTCTCGCTATGTGGGATTTATGGTGATAGATCATAATTTGAGTGAGATTTTCGGAATCACACCCTAAGGAAGAAGATCATGTTGTGACTGAACTGTTAGATCGGTCATACAATGAGATAATTTATTTGGACACTATACAATCCCCCAAGCTCAAGTCATAGTCATTGATGCTCAAAATAAGTTAAATGAATGCATTATTATGTCATCATTCAGTTATGAGACAAGACCCTTCATTCGATCACTACATAACCCTCAACCTCAAGTCACAAACAATGAGGCTTAGGTAGGTTAATGATCGCATTATTATGTCATCGTTCGATTACAAGGCAAGACCCTTCATTCGAACATCACATAACTCCCCAATCTCAAGTTACAGACGATGAGGCTTAGGTAGGTCATTGACAACGGTATAATATTGAGTCACTCAGCTTGACTATTGTAATAATAATCAAAGTACGACCTCGAAGGGTCATCGTGTAGAGTCGTCTGACCTCAAAGAGTCTTTGTGTAGACCTCAAAGGATCATCGTGAAGTCATATCAGATCATGTCAAAATCTTAGAATGAACATGCATAATATCAAACTAAACTAAAATTGATAAACAATTATTCATGAATATAGTTTCAATGTTTCACATTCTAATGAATTCAAAACATAATAATTTTATTATATATAAATATTTAAGCGCATATCATATAACCTAATAATAATAATAATAATAATAATAATAATAATAATAATAATAAATGAATAAATAATAACAATAATAATAATAAAAAATAATAAATGATAATTAATAATAATGATAACAAATAATAACAATAATAATAATAATAATATTTTATTAATTCAAAATATTATTTTAGTAGTTTTACTTGTACTAAGTATTTTCACCCATCCATGTTGTCGAACAAATTTATGCGATGTACCCTTGCACATTTAAAGATTCGAATGCACCTAATGGAGGACCACAAGGGCATATTGGGCCTATCACTAAGGTCATGATCCGAAGGATAAAGGAGAATGAGGTGACACCACTAATACTCCTCTTATGAAGTTTAAATTGAACAAGGGCATATTGGGCCTATCACTAGGGCCATGGCCCGAAGGATAGAGGAGAATGAGGCGGTACCACTAATACTCCTCTTATGAAGTTTAAATTGAACACTTCAAAATAAAGTTGTATTGAATAAATCCTTCTCTTCCTTTTGTAGTGTCCCAAACATGCGTACACAAGCCAAGACGCACACCAAGCCCATGGAGTGCACCAAACCCAGACCAACCGAGTATAGGAGCACACCAAGGACGCCACATGACCAAGCTTCTTTGCCATCTTAGATGCACCTCAAAGAAGCTTTGGAGTATATAAACACTTGAGTAAACCTTCTCTTGTTCAATGTGGAACTTAGAAGAAAAAGACAACATAAAAGAGAAGTTATCATGGCCAAAGAAGGTGCAGCCAAAAGTGTAAGAATTAATGATTGAGTTCAAGAAGGGGGGGGTGAATTGAACTATGAGCCTTTATCCCTTTTAAAAAAAATGCTTTTCTTTTGGAAGAATGAATAATCTTTAATCAATCTTTTATTAGGCAGATTCAGTTTTTAACAAGGCAAGAGTATAAAATAGGAATGAAAAGAGAAAAGTGCAGAAATACAACACAAGAGTTTTTATATTGGATCACTATTTGCAAGAGCTACATCCAGTTCTTGACAAACTATCAAGTTCCATTAAAACCAAGTGAAGATACAAACCAGTAGATACAAATCAATATACTCCAAGATCTACCTTGCAACACCACAAGATAGACTCTTGAAAACCACCCAGCAACCAAACCTAGTTGTTGTAACCAGTGCAAAATCAAACACAATCTACACAATTAAAATTCGTACAAAGTATTGGAAAAGATAAACCTGGACAGTAGCTTTTGTAATACAAAAGTCCAGAAACAAATTTTCTAACATAGAACTTCCTCTCTTGAAGATCTCTCAACAATCTTGATCAAAGCGCCTTATGATATGAATGTGTATGAATGCTCAGAGACAAACAAGAATACCAGAGCTCAAAGATTGCTTTTAATTGATTTTCAAATTGTATATTTTAAAAGAGAAATCAAAACTGTATTTATAAAAAAAAATGATAAAAACTGATAGTTTTAATCGATTAAAATGATGCTTTAATCGATTGATTTCATTTAAAACTATTTTAATCGGTTAATTCAAGCTTTTAATAAATTAAAATTGCTAGAGGAAAAAATGGAAGTTCTCGGTTTTAACAGATTAAGAAACCTAAGGTACTCAAAAAATGAATTATGACTTAAAAAAATTTAATCTATTGATTTGTCAATTAATATATTAAAACCGTGAAACCCTTAACATAAAAAAAAACTATCAAGAACATTTCAATATGTTAATTTTACAACTTAATCGATTAAAATGACGATTACGTACATATACATTTCCTATTTTAAGTGTTTTTAATCGATTAAAACTACTTTTTAACAAATTAAAAAAAATTGTTCTTTCAAAGCTTAAAGGTTGCTTTTTTTTATGAAGTATGATAAATTCTATGATATGCAACAATTATAGACTCTATCATAAGATATATTTACAAGTATCAAGAGATTAAATTTTGAACCTATAACCTAACTACTCACACACACATACACACAGCGGAATACAATGATACTTCATATGTCTTCATCAAATTCAACAAGTGTTTCAATCTCCCCCTATTTGATGGAGACAAATATCCACTGTTCCTGCATAAAAGCAAATAGCATACATATGTTTGTGATGTGTGTGTAGTGACAAAGCTATATCACTCTTCTCCCTGTATTTGACTTCATAAAAATTCACATACAGTCCACAGATTCCATTCAGGTACCCAAAAGACAAAACAAACAACAACAACAAAATTATGCAAGTAAAATAAAGCTGACAAGAGGATATTTCACTCATC